GCCATGGACAACAGCAACAATCAGCAAGCGACAAGCGGCAACTCAAGCGCCACTCTTGCGACTCGTTGACAAATTGTGGGCAACGTGCGCAATTGAAACAATTTAATCCACAAACAGCAGCAAAAACAACAACAACAACTGGAACAACAACAACGACAAGCAACAAAAAGCAAACAACGGTGGCAAATGAACTGAAATGCACATACTGAATGCTGAATGCTGAGTTGCACATTTGCACAATGGGGCAGGTAACAAGAAAGGCCAACAACAAAATGTTGCTAAGAAAAAATGCAGAAAAAAGCACAAATTAAGGATGACAAATAGAAGTGAAGAGAAAGCTTAATGAACTGTTCGAATGAAAAGCAGTTAACGATATATAAACATATATATACATAAATAGGATATAACGAAGATCCTCAAAAGTAGCTAACAGTCAGAAGTACGCATCTCTGCCCTTATAAAGCATATACATATATGTTTATATATATCTTGATCAGCATCAACAATCGAGTCGATTTACGCATGTCAACTTCTCGTATGCCACACGTTTATCCAGTTCATTCCATTTGATCGATAAGTTCCTTCGTTTTGCGAATATCGATACAAATCGATTTTCGATTGCACTTTTAAATTGTAGCTTTCCGGTTAATGCATACTTTTAATGAATGGCACAAATTTCATGAAGATCGGATAAGAAACAGCCAGGAAAACATATTCGCATATTGAATTTCATATTCTGGATCTGGTTCTGGTTCTAGTCGGAGCAGCAGAATAAGACTTCAAATAATAAGAAATAAATGAAAACAAAAAACTCTACTTGACTTTGTTATAAATATATCAAAGTGATATATTCATAAGTAGTTCAAAAGACTTAAATTCACAAATATATCCAGTTCGCGGCTTAAGGGCTTTTGAAATACATTTCAACCAGATCGCCTGCCACAGGCAATTCAGATGACCAAAGCTGATTTCTTAACAAAGTAAATTCTGATAAATGAATCTAAAAAATATATATATATATAGATTTGTTCATATGACCCAGTTGATAATTAACAAATAAAACAAATAACACTGGTTCATTAATGATTTTAAGATCAATAAAAACTCTTTCGCAACTCAGCAAATCAGCAGCAATTTCAAATTTTGATTGATGAGCTGATTGAATGAATCAAAACTGAACTGGTTCGCACACACACGCACACAATGCACAAAACAATTTGTGATTAATTGATATTGTATATATTATTAATTGAGTTTGCCGAACAAACACGGCTGCCAACTGCTGCCACACAAAGAACTGGTTCACATGCGATTGCTTGCCGATTGATGCCAATAAGCTGGTCACATTAAAATACCAATCGCGTGATTAATAGCCTTTTACCGTTCAATGAAGTGTCTGTGTGTGTGTGTGTGTGTGTGTCTTATCGGAGTCAGAAAGTGACTCTGTTAATATAAAGACCCTTAAGCGATCAAGTCGATTTGTGTGTGTGTGTGTTGTGTGCTTGCATATTTATCGATAACAAGTGAAACATGTCAGCGAGCGAGTTTCTTACAAATGCCAATGAGCAAACACATGTCAGGCACCCCCCATCGAACCAAGAGGGGTAATAGAACGGGTGGGGAGCGGGGGGTGGTATGGGGATAGAAGGGGGCTGGATGGTTGGGTGATTGTCTATGGTGATTACAAATGGAATCAGCTCCTTTGCGTGTAACACCGGGCGTATGATGAATGTGCATTTAATTGTGGGCTGCCAGTTCGCAGGGTAACCATCGGGGGCAGTCAGTGAGGGAGGGGCGAGGTGTGAGTGTGTTGTGGAACAACAACAGTAGCAGTAGCAGTAGCTGTAGATTTGAGATATTTGTTGTAGGCGGCAGCTGTGGGCCACTAAATGTTTCCATTAATTCGCATTCGAGATTCAAATGTGTGTCTAACACAGTAAACGCTCGCAAAGTCAAACTTCAAAATGAGCATATGCTTGATGCAAGTAGTAAAGTAAAATGAATACATGAATATGTCCAAGAGTTAAAGAAGCTCTTGTATCAAAAACAAGAACAATTATTCATTACTTCTTAGATCTTAATTTAAGTTAAGTATTCGTAATTTAGATGGGATCATGAGAAAACTATAAATGTAAAATGAATTAAAAAGCAAGCAAAATATTAAAACAGAAATGGGAATTATCAGCATACGGGAGACTACTGTACTTGTACACAACATTACATTATAGGCAAAAGTACATCAAGAGTGAAGCATTCGACTCGACAGCAAAATAGATAATAAATAAATAATAAATAAAGTAAACAAAACAACAACAACAACCACAACAGCAGCAGCAGCAGAGATCGCAGAATGCGCTAAACTTAAACTAAGCCTGATTTGCATATCAACATTTCGCATAACATTCTATTGAAAGCTTTTCTCACTTAAGCGTCAATTTTTAGTTGATGGTTATTTCTGCTTATTCTGGCTTCTTTTTATTTGTTTTTTTTTTTTTTGTCTTTTATTCTCTCTTTGAAATTCAATGAGCCGCATTTCCAGCCTCAATTACTAGCTACCAACCAGATCGCAACGATTGCGTCGAACTAGAGATGATACCGTGTCACGATGTGTGACACGCATATTCATGTTGAGTATAAGCATAATTATAGAAGCAGAAAAGTCAATGCCTTTATACAAGTTGACAAATATCAAAAAACAAATCGAAATCGGAAAATACAAAAATATTTAATTACACAGAATAATATGAAAAAGCTAAGAAGAGTGAGTTCATCTTCTAAGAAATGTAAATCAAATATAAAATAATTTATTCATTTATATTCGTAATTACTTCATATCTTAATTATTTTCCAAAACTTAAAACAAAGTCGTGCGTGTCGTGTCACGTGCAACAATGCGAAGCTTAAGGCACCCATCACAAATGGCGAGTGTTCTGAATGATCGATCCAATCGATAATGCATTTATTGGCTTTGTGGGAAGCGGGGGCGTGGAAATGGGCACAAAATTTATGATGGCATTTACCTAATGGCAACGCAGTAATGTTAAATGCAAAACTGCCGTTGAAATGTGCGAGAAATATGCAAAAATTTATAGTGTTATTTGTAACTTACACGAAATATAACATCCATACATTACACGTGTATAATAAACACAACACATTTGCATCAGTCATTAGTTAACTGGAAAGACAAACACAACAAATGCAAACACTCATCTATCCGTGTGCATACATGGAATATATACATATAATATATAATTGCATTACAGTCAGTTCCTTGTTGGTTTACCATCTTAAAATCAATATATATATATAACAAAGCCAGCCAATCCATTTATTTTTTGTATACATTTGAAACTATTTTTGAAGAGCGCCTAAAAGTCCACCACATGAGAAATTTAACGAAGGTGTTAGCGAAAACACACACCCAGTACGAAACTCAACGAAGGCAGATTTCTCGCTGAGCAGAGACCGACTCATTTTAGTCGAAACACAAACCCAACGCAACACTGAACGAAGGCAGACATTTCGCTTAGCGAAAAGCGTATGACAATTATTCCTCGCATAACAGAGTTCGACACCACCAGACAGCTTTCGATAGTTTTTAACAGTTCTTGTGTATTTGCTGTTAATAATGCCAAAATGAGCAGCTGTGCGGGAAAATTAAAATTTCGCAGTTGATAACAAATATAACGTGGACTTATTAAGTTACAACATTTTTACGAAGTTACTTCGACATCTTGTACTTCTTTTAGATAGCCTTTTCCACTATTATATTTTATTTTTGTATATTCAAAAATGTGACTAGATATGGACATATCACATTTTTATTTATATTACGGTAATTATCGGTTATCGATACATCTTGCACAATGCGCATGTCTTGATGCTGATTTACATACCAAAATCAACACTGCCTGCTCCTGCTGCTTGGATAACAACAAAAAAACATCTCCTAGCAACATTCTGCACTGCATTGGCAACACTGGCAGGAGTTGACAACATTCCCTCTGAAAAGCCGAAGAAAGAAGACGGCAGCTGAAATCGGTCGGTTGAATTTAAAATTGCAATTCCAATTGCTCACATTGTGACAATATATATATATATATATATATATATATATATATATATATATATATATATACATATATATGTATATTTGTGTTATTTGTTTTTGTTGTTATTGCTGCTGCGAGTGACATATATACGTATTTAGAAGTGAACTTTTCAATTGAATTTAAATTTTTTTCTTTCACTTCTTTTTGCAATATGTTTGCCAATGTGTTATGTGTGTATGTTGGGCTGCTTAGGAGTGGGTGGGGTGAAGCCAGCACAATAATTAAATACAAGTGAAAAATCAATACCGTTGTACCGTTAGCGCTTTGTTGTTGTTGTGCATTGCGCACTTAATTCGTGTGCGTGTGCCTAAGTGTGTGTGTTGTGCTGAGAATCGAAATTGGGAATTTAAAAACAATGCACGAAAACTTAAAAAGTGCAGAAAATCTGCGCAACAAAACTAGACTTTAGCAGTACATATATATAAATATATATATGTGTGTGCTGCTAAATATATATATATATATATATGTGTGTGTACAGTGGTACCTCAATAATTGCAAACTCTTTGTTGAGTCAACAGTTGAAATCTTAATGTGTCCGAAAGCTAAATTTGTTTTTTATTTTTTCTTTTTGAAGTTAATTTTGTTGTATTAGATGTGAATAAAAAAGTACTATGCAAATTGTTAATATAATTTTAAAGATTGCTATAGAGAGAATTTTCTATATTATTATATATGTGTGTGTGTGTACTTTGTGCATGTTTCCTGTTGCCAGGCAGGGCGGCAGCAGCAACTGCAAAAACACAACAACAACAACGCATTTGGCGAACGCAACACCCGAACGAGTGCTCCAACAACAACAAGAACGGAATGCAACTCGTGCAACGATTTCTAACGGTTATCCCTATTTTTTTTTTTGCTCTGCTCTGCTCTTCTTATTTTTAGGTCAGCAGCCAGCGAGTGAGCAGCGTCGAGATTCGATTTTCGCCTTTGGCTCCTCCGACTTTTCGCTTCGAATTGCTGCCGGTGAAAATTAAACTAAGACACACACACACACACATACATATATTGCATACATATATACAATATGTATGTAGGATGCTGCTCAACACTTACGCAACGCAAGCGACATCTGACGGCACATTAAGACAACTCTAAACAAACGCTGCACTCGCAAAAAGTTTCGTTCCACAAAAAGAAACAAGAAAAAAAGAAATTAAAAAAATATTTTTAAAAAATGGCAACCAACAGCAACTCGTCGGCAAACACTTCGCTGGCCACAACGCCGGCAACAACGCCAACCGCGATGACAACAGCGAAAAGATTAGGCTACAATACATCCTCGCCATCCTCAACATCATCGGTGATCTGCGAGGAGGTCTTCGATGAGGCCTGTCTGCCATCATCCGACGGTGAGTAGATAAAATGGAAGCTGGAAGCCTACTTTTACAATGACTCAATCACTCTCTTTCCACTAACCGAATCCTTTCATTCCTCAATAATCAACCACTCTTGCAACAGACTTATTTTATATAAATCTATAAGAAATTACAGTAAATTTCTTATAACAAGAAACACTTAACCATCCCATAAGGATCTGCATTATTCCTATTTTCCAGAATCACATGTCAAAAATTTATAAATTGAAATCCTATTTTTATATTTCTTCAGACGGTAAACAGGCTGGTTTTAAATAGATATGGAAAATAGTAGTGATTAATTTATACGAAATCTTTAAATACTAATGTTTAATATAAGAATTCTTTTATGTGTACACTTAGAGAAATTAGACATAGTTTTGCTCGCCCTGAAATTAAGAAAAACCAGGGTTTTTTTTTGGAAAGCCACAACTTTTAATTTTTAGAAATTTTTAAAAATAAGGATAGTAATCCTTACATGGCAAATTTCTAAAATGTATGGCGATTTTTTTCTGAGTGCATTGCTAAAGTTAGTTTTGTTTAAAATGAATGAAATTGGCCCTTGACTCATTTAAATCATTTGTTGCTTGCTGTCCGTCCGTCCGTTCTTCCGCTCGTCCGGATGTGGTCAGCCACTATGAATAATGAATATATATTATATATATATGTATAAATGTATATCTAAGTGTACTGTGTGGGAATATGAATGAGGGTAAGGCTGGGGCATGCAGGTGTCCTCTATAGGGTTTCCGCTGTAATTCGTTGTCCTTCAGTGGGTCCCTTTAATGGGTCAACTTAATATATACAATACATGCAATATATATATATATGTATATATGTGTGTATGATTTAGTGGTTGGTTTTTTCTCTTATTTTTTATTAGTTCAAGCCAGCTGTTTGAAGGAACTGGAACCACGCAAACTTTAAAACTGTGCCCGAGTTGGCTTTAGTACTTGATTTGAAGTTGTCGCAGTCAAGCTGTGTGCCAGCTGATTAGGGTCTGGTGTTTATATATATATATATATATGTGTGTGTGTGTGTGCGTGGATTGCTCGCTATGACGACAGCAACTACCCCAAAGTATTGCGCACAAGTTGGCCAAAACCCATGTATTTTGGCTGGCAATTGACGACGTTGCCAGGAAACCAACGTTGACCGCTGAAGATACTTTTGTCGCAGTTGGTTGGTCGAATAATGGTTGCTGTTGACAGACAGCCAGACAGACTGTCAGCTGTAATCAATATGGGGGAGCGGAATATGGAATATGCAATATGCAAAATGCAGGCCACGTCGTCATTGCGAATTCAGTTTTCAGTTTACAGTATACAGTTGGCAGTTGCCAGTTGGCAGTTGTTTCGACGGGCTTTCAAATCTTTTTTGTGTTCTGTTTGTTCAGGCTAAATGGAATTTTTAAGCGCTTAGTGAAGGCAAGTTTCAGTTTCCACGACGAGATTCGAGATAACGCTCGAGGGCTTTTTCTCGATGAAAGGAAAATTCTCATATTTTGCGAAAAGATTTTTCATTCATTCATTCATTCAATCCCCATTGACGTCACACACAGAAGGAGGCCAAGCAGGGAGGAGAGCTGCTCAATTGATGTGGGTGCGACACAGTTTGTAATGTTTTCATTACTCTTAATTGCCGTTATAAAAGTTATTGTGCTTCCAAGCCAAGTATGTACCATATACATGTACATTTATATATCTATATGTGTATATATAGTAAAATACTTAGGCTAATAGCTCTTGGGGCAACAAGGACACTAAAGCGTTAACAAAACAATGGCGATGACACACATATGATATATTAACTATAGCTGACATAGTCGATCATAAAATGATAGCAATCTAGTAGAGCTTTGAGGATTACTCACCGCTTGAACATTTCTGAATTGGTTTTGGAACAGCTTACTTGCGATAAGCAGAACAAAGATTTCTGAACTCTCAAATTGTCATCACATTTCAGGTCCTTGCTGTGAGACTGCAACTGAAACTGCAACTGAATCGATTCACCAAAGAAATTCAGTTTAATTTTTAGTCTAAGTATTAGGATCGGTAACTTTGAATTGATTAAGTAATCTCGAATTGCACACACAAATTGAGATTTTGACAAATTGTGAAACAAATCTCAGAGCCAACTTAATACTGAGCTGTCATTTAACAAATCATAATCACAATCGCAATATAATTAATTAATTTGTAACTGTTTGTTTTCTTTTCATTGCCACAGAGATTAATGATTATGCGACACTAATTGGCATCGAGGCGATCAAGGAGCCGCATTTACTATACCTGGCCAAGGAGGGGCTTATGGCTGCATTGCCACCAGAGTGGAAGATTTGGTAAGTTATCTCTTAAATATATAGTAGATGTGATTTTAATTGTTGACACACTTGCAGTTATTCGGAGGAGAAGAGCGGACATTATTATCACAATACGCGAACGAAGCAGTCGCAGTGGGATCATCCGTTGGACGCCGTCTATCGCGATCTCGTCGAGCAGACGCGCCAGAAGCTGTTGACGGCAACGGCGGGCGTTGCCACGCCCATTATTGATAATTCGGATGATGTGTCGCAGCTGGACTCGGGTATACGGAGCATGCAAGGCACCGATGACCTGCTCGACGACATGAGCTCACCCCTGAACAATGGCAGCACTCATCTCGCCACCGGAGTGGGTGCAGCCGGGGGAGCAGGAGCAGCAGCTGGAGCCGGCGCGGTAGTGGGAGCTGGAAACAAATTGAGTTTGGGCACGTTGCCAACGGCAAGCAGCTTTCCGGGTCCAAACGGTTTCAGTGGTGGCGTCAGTCGCTTTCTCGAGTCTCGTGGCAAGAGTTTTGGGCCCATCTTTCAGCCGGTGAAGAACACACGTTTCGAGGTGGCCAAAACCACCGCACAAATCAGTCTGGCCATGAAATTCGGACAGTCGGCGTTAGGTGGTGGTGTAACGGGCAATATGGAGCCAACGCTGGAGCAGCGCAAGGGGGCATTTCAATTGTCCGGCACTGGAGCAATGTTCCTTAAATCGCGCCGACAAATGGAGCCAACAGCGGCGGCATTGGCTGCATCGGCGGAGGCAGGCATGTCAGCCACCGGTGTCAAGGGCATACTACGTGATTCCAGCCTGACCGATATGCGACGGCGTTTCGAGCGGGATGAGGAGACATCTGCGCCGGTCGAGGATAAGAAGAGCGTACGCTTCAATCTGGTCGAAACGCACACCATGAGCAGCTCGTCACCTGTCGAGGAGGACGCAAGCACGCCACGCAAGTTGACGCAAAGTCCCGAGCTCTCCATCAACACCGATGACGAAGACGACGATGTCGCCGAAGTGGAGGATAACGAGGCGAAGGCTCTGGCGGCGTCACACGACGATGATGCGGATGTGGAAGAGGATGCGGATGCCGAAGAGGATGTGGATGAGAATGTGGACGACGACGACGATGATGAGGATGATGATGACGATGTCTGGGATGAGGATGTGGACGACCCAGATGCCATGGTCGGCATGTGCAGCCTAAATCCATTCATCAGCGATGCCAACAAATCCATACGCATCATAAATTTGCCCAAAGCCCAAACCATACAGATGCTAAAGAACTCGTCGTCCGAACTAAATGCGGAATCGCAATCGGGCTCCATACTGGGCACGAGTGCAGCGAGCAGCTATCTGGACAAGCTGAAGGAGAGTGCATCGGTGAAGCCGCTGTATGAGGACACGGACTCCGATTCGAAGGGCAGCTCGGTGCGCAGTTTCATCATCAATAAGTCCGAGCAGGACAACAATCCCTTCGACCTTGACGAGCTGGGACGCAAGCACAGTCACGAGCTGGAGCAACTGCAGCGCAAATCGGCACAGGCCGCACACGAGAAGCTCGGGCTGCGCTCACTGAAAATGGCCAGCAAACTGGTGGGTCTGCTCAAGCAGAAACAGGAGCCGGGTGCCAGCGAGATGCTGAGCGAGGCGGCCGCCTTGCAGCAGCTGCAGCAGGACATGGAGTGCGTGAAGCGGGAGCACGAGACGCGTCTGAAGAGTTTGCGGCACGAGTACGATTTGCGTCTGACCTCGCATCAGCATCAGCTGGAGGAGGCATTCGAGCTGCAGCTGGAGGAGTATCGCCAGCAGTTGGAGCATCAGCTCCAATCGAAGCGTGCCCAAGTCGTTAGCGAGCACAAGCAACGGATGTCCACGCTCCAATCGAATCATTCCGAGCTGCTGCACGAACTGGAACGTGATCTGCGCTCCGAGCAGGAGATCTTGCGACGTGAGCATGCCGCTCAACTGGCCCAGCTGAGGGATAAGCTCGCCCACGAACTGGAGCTGGAGAAGCAGCGTCTGCGCGACAACGGCGAGGAGCGCCTCTACGAGAAGGTGCGCTGCGAGAAGCGACTGCTCGAGGACAAGTATCACTGCCTCAAGGAGAAGTATGTGCGTCTCAAGACCGATGTAAAATTGTCGCTGGAGCGACGCAGTCGCCGTCGCGAGACGCAGGCACTGCAACAGCAGCAGCATGGCCAGCACAATGTGCACCACACCAATACGAACACAACAACCGGTTCCGAAACGGAGCGATCCATCTCGCAGAAGCCGTCGATTGGCAACAGCGAGAATCGTTCGCTCAGCTACTCCGAGCAGGCAACGGCCGGTGTCAGTCAGAGTGGCACGGCAACAGCTGGTACGGCAACGGCCGGCACAACTGGCACAGCCGGTGGCGGTGCTGTTGTTAAGCTGAAGCCACCCGTGCCACCAAAGACACATCTGAGCAAACCGGGCATTGCCAGCAAGTATCTGAAGCAGCTGCAGCTGCAGGATGATACAAACACCTCGTTGAGCCAGTCGGACACGACCATCTCCAATAATTATAGCAAGGGTCGCTATTTGGCGGCGCCAAAAGCCACAAGCCAACACTCGGCACAGACGGGAGCGACAGGAGGAGCAGGAGGAGGAGGACAAGTGGTATCCAGTGGCGTGCTGCTCAGCGATAATGGTAACTCCGATTCGGAAGCTGTGGCCCAACACTGCAATCAGCAGGAGAACAACAACAACAATAATAATAATAATAAATCTTTGGTCGCGTTGCCGCGCAAGAAACTCTTCTCGCGCACCAAGTCGGCGTCGACATCGCGCCTCAACTCGGACAATTACAAGCAGCAGCTGGAGCGTCCGTGCACTCCCGTCGAGAATTTGCGACACCAGCTGCAGAAGCTGGAGGATCTCGAGGATCAGTTTCCGGAGCATACGCTAGATACGACATATCATCTGCGTTACCCTTTCACGGACATCTCCAATGAGCATGCAGCCGTCGTTGGCTCTGTGGTTGGTTCCGAACTGGAGTTCTTCAAGCATCGCATCCATTTGGAGCGTGACTCGGTGCGACGGGCCAAGGAATCGTTGCGCACACAGCGCACCAATTTTCGGGCACGTCAGCGTGAGATTAAGCAGCGGCACAAGAGCATCGCACTGGCTGCGCCCAGGCACTCGCTGGATCAGTTGATCCAGGAGGAGAAGGATCTCACCGAAATGGAGGTGAATCTGCACCGGACACGTGCTCTGCTCGGCGAGAAGGTGATTCGTTTGCGGCACTTGGAGCAGAGTCTGTTGCGCATCTACGAGAAGGAGAAGCCCAGCTTGGAGCTGGATGCCAAGGATGATGCAACCACACTGAGTGATCTCTCCTCCCATTCCAGTTCCGGTTTTAGCAGCACTGATTTCGCAAGCGGTGCCGATTTGCACAAACGCAAGGAGTACTTCCAGCAGGAGTCGAACGAGTGCATTCAGAATCTGGAGATACTCAATGCGGAGATACGTGAAATTCTCGATATACTCGGCCAGAAGCAGCATCTACAGCAACAGCAGCAGCAGCAACAACAGTCACAGCAATTGCAGCAGTTGCATCCACTTCCTCATCCACATCCGGCAGCGGCTGCCTTGGCCATGCCAATGCCAATGGCCATGCCGATGATATCACCGAATGAGCTGAGCTGGTCGCACATGCTCAGCCAGCAGTCGTCGCCGGGTGGTGGTTGTGGTGGTGTTGCTGCTGGTGCAGCACTACAGACAAGCAGCTCGGGCCACAGCATGAGCGGCAGTGCGGTGCATGCACCACAATCGATACCCACACTGGCCGATCGATTGGAGACGTATCGCCAGCTGGCAGCCGGACGCATGCACAGCTCGATGGGTGGCGCCATACTGGCGGCAAATACGATCGTCTCGCAGAGTCCGCGTGCGGTCAACTATACAACCAGCCTGGTGGAGCGCACCAGGGATCTGCGCAACTGGTTGCGTCAGGCGAAGACGGAGCACGAACTGCTCACCGGCATGGGTGTGCAGCAGGGTCTTGCCTTGGGCGCTGTGGGGGCTGTGGGTGGTGGCATTGGTGCACATTTGACTGCCAATGGCGCTGCTGGTGGTGGCATGGTGGCAACTACGCCCGGCATTGCAGCAGCGGGTGGCTTAACACCGACAGGTGCTGCTGCTGCAGCGGCAGCGGCACAAACTAATTTGTAAGGCCACAGTTGCAATCACAAGCCACAAGAGGCACACCTTCCCCGTCACCACGCCCCCTTCGATAACTAGTCAAATATTATTGTACTTAAAGATGCCTAGAAAGAAACCAGAAGAAACAGAAGCATAATAAGAAGCTGTATATAAGCATTTAGATTGCCTATAATTATGATTATAATTATTATTATTATTATCATTATTATTATTATTATTACTATTATTATTATTATTATTACTATTATTATTATTGTTAGTAGTAGTCTGCCTTTCGTCTGCCTTTTTACTGAGCCTAGCAATGTGTTTTCGCTTGTTTTTGGTTTGTTCAAGTTCAAGTTTAACTAAGTTGCAACTGCTGCGCATACCCTGTAAAAATCACTACAATGTACATAGTATATATGTATGCATATATACAACAGAGCTGGCTAAATTGCGACAACCACAGGGTATCCATTAGTCGAGCAGCCTACTTGTTCGAGTTATTTTCTGTTTTAGCGCTTAAGAGTTGTTAACTTGTTCAACGCTAGTCCGCTAGTCTATTATGCTATATGATATACCCTATAATTTGCTGCAAATAGGTTAAGCGCGCACTCACAGTTGGCGGAGCGTGCCTCACTCAAAGACAAGTAAAATTAGCCGTTAGTTGAAAACCAAATAATGAAAAGCATATTCAAGGAAAACGTAATTGAATCAAAATAATGAAAACAATCCGTATAAGAAATATTAACAAATATTATATAAATTAACAAATATGATTTTGTTTTTTTTTTTTTAACTAAGTGAATTAACTGCAAGTTAATCGGACTGTCATAGTTAATTAGCGCCTAACTTCTTGATTGTTGTTGCAAATGTTTGAGGCGAGCAAATGTTTAGTCAACCAATTTGCATTTGGGTAATAAAATGCTAAAATTCCAAATTCAGTGAACTCAATCAAAAACCAAATGTAATAATGCTCTGGTATCGTCGGAGGAGTGCAAACCAAATAGATTAAAGACCGAACGAACCATACAAATAATCAAAGTGTTACGATTTCTTATATTTGATATGAATAATAATGATGATAATATGATGCTATCATTTCTGAATGTGACTCCGTACTCAAATGCACAACAACTAATTACTTACGTACATCTGTGTATGTACGAGTATGTGCTTTATGTTTAAGAAGTTAGTGGTATCGAGCTATAAAGAAGCCAATGTGTTAAAACGAAACGAAAGATATTTCATGATTAACTAACCATATACGTAAGCAAAGGCGAAACTTATATATGAATGTATATGATATGAACATATATATATATAGATATATATGTATATAACATCAACAACAACAAAGGACAGGATCTCTCTTTTTGACAACAACTTTTTAGAATCTATATACCTATATATACCTTAAAGAAGTCAAAATGAATTTGAATTTGAATTTGAACCACTTGAAATACTTTATACAATTATTAGGTAAATATTATCTATACGTAATGAAACCCTGCTTACGGCAAACAAACTGAGCAGATCTCCAACTCTGATTGAATTTATTTAGAATCCCACTTTGCATTACTGTTTGTGTTTTTTTTTTAATCTTTATTTATTTATTGTTTTTGTATATTATTACATATCAGCAGAATGTTTTCCACTGTAAGATCTGGTCAAGTTTGTTTGTCTTGAGCAGTTTACCCGACGATATAAAGTTAAAGAATAAATTATTGAATGTTTGAATGTTTTATCTTATAAATATAAAAGATAAAGATGAACATAGAGAGAGAGAGAGAGAAGAGGCATATAATACATGTTGTTGTATGAAAGAGGAAGAGAGAGAGAGAGAGAGAGGGTAAACTTCAAGCACAATTTATGGGAATGCAGGCAAATCAAACATTGTTGAAGGTTGTTTAACTTCTAGTCATGGTTTATTAGCAAATGGCAAACGTTGGCAAGTTGGCAAAAGACAGAAGCAGGTACATTATAATATAATATACTAGACATACTATATCTAATCAATATAGCCAAAGAATAATCTAAAAACAATTAGACGAACAACAAACTCGGAGCGAAGTGGACTCTCGCAATTGATGAACCTATCCAAAGTAATACTTACCCAACAATATTCCAAAAAATACTTAGCCAATCTAATATTTTTTACATTATACAAATACAGATCCGATTTGAAAAACAAAAGCAAACAAGACGATTACAGTTACGAGTACGATAAAAATACGTTTTCTACTATTTTCTATAGCATTTCTAGAGTATTACGTATATGGAAAAGAAAATGAAAAACTTGTCACTTTCAGTTCCTTGAGCACTCACACAGACACACTCACATACACACATTCACACACACACACACACACATTCACACACACACACACACACACATTCACACACACACACACACACACACATAGAAACTTAATGTAGAAGGTTAAGTCTGAAAAAATAAAAAACCGAAAAGTTGTGCTCCCCAAACAGTAGTGAACGGATTACTTAAGATGAAAAATATGGAAACAGAGAGAAAGAGAGAGAGAGAGAGATAAAATCAGAAGAGAAAAAGAGAGAGATAAAAATCAGAGCGTTGCGTTTCCATATATGCCACACACATATATATATATATAAAGACATATATGTGTGTATACTCGTACTTGCATAATACGATGCCTACGATTATTATCGATTAACGATTACCGATTACCGAATATGATATATGTACTTATGTATATGTGATGTTGTGATATTTGACTCTAGCGATATAAGACCTCAGTTAAGTTATGAATCTATTCTATACACGTACACTCCGCACGAGATTGAGACAGAGAGAGAGAGTGAGCGAGAGAGAGTGAGCGAGAGAGAGGGGAAGAGAGATAGTGAGATAGTGAGATTGCACCATTTAGTTTCTATTCAAGCCGTCCCCTATGTTGTACATCCTCCTCTCCCCCGTCAATTGGTTTTCCCAGATTCATATATATATATATATGTATATATATATATTTATATATATGGATATTCATGTGATAGCTACTACAATTTTTTCTTGAATCTGATCATTTTGCTAGTTAAGTATTACCCACAAAAAATAATGATTTTACATGCATGCATTTGTATATCATCTATATATATATATATATATATATTATAAATTGAATATTCAAGAAGTACTTTTATGTTTTTCACTATACAGAAAAAAGAATTATGAAGAGCACTTCTCGCTTTCATTCAGATACATTTCACAGAAACCTTATATAGAATACAAATGCATATATATGTGTGTGTACATCTATATATATATATGTACGATATATATATATATATATATATGTGTATAATCGTACAGTACTTAACCGAAATTTCATTAGCAATATCAATTGAAAGCAACGCACAAAGCACAATTAAAACATTTAGGGACGGAACAGAGATTATTCATAGGAATCTTACATAATATCTACGGACATACATACACACATACATACATACATATATATATATATATATAGAAATATATATACAGCAGATGAAATATTTGATGATATTGAGAAATTAGAAAATTGGAAAATTGTTATTTTGGGGTTTTTCGATCGGTCGAGTACAAACGTTTTTTGGGCCTACTAAAAAATTGAAATCAAAAAGATTTAACAATTTCATGAAAATGAAACTATGAGAAATGTTTATTAATTAACTATGTGAAGTAAATGATTATATATTGATCTATTATGCATGGATATTATATGATATGCGAGCATCCTTATAAGCAGTCTGACAACAATAACAACAACAAAAAACTCGGCTGAACTGAAAAGACAATTTTATCAGCTAATATCCGTTTAGCGAATTTGCTTAAGATAAGTGAACCGTGTATGTTATGAAATATTGTGAAATATACAAAAAGATTCCAATAAAGATAAATAAATTCCAAACAAAATTGAAACCAAATAATTAGCACGAAATTTAACAAGAACTAGTCAAGAACAGCAAAAATAAAACCAATAAATAAAATTAAAAAAAAAAAAATCAAATAATTTTGTGTTCTTTTATTTTATTGAATATATTCGAATGATTCATTCTGGAACCATCTAAGATATAAGCTTTGCAGATGAGTTTCCAATAATGTTGCCAAGTTTTAACAACAAAATTATTATTATTTGTTCTCTTGCTTAAAGCGAATTTTAGTCCATTTGTGAAGTGTTTTTTTTTTTAACATAAAGTTGAAGAACCATATGAGAGATGCAACAGAAGGGAATATAAATTGCCGTGCGGCAACACACAAAGAGCCGAATCATGCCTCAATTTGGGTAGTCTTTTTAACAATATGAATTTTAAATATGCTCAAAAAGACGAACCGATTCTATCTAATTTAGTTTGCCAACTGCCAGACAATTATTCAATGCCTCCTGCGTAGTTGTGTCGTATCAATAAAACTGTCGTCGATGTCGTCGCCAATTGCCGTGTTGCTGCCTCTTCGCGTTTATCTGTGTGTATGCTTTGCTTGCCACATTCACACTCAACATTTAGTCTATATTCTTTTTTTACTGCCAATTCATCGACAACTCGATAATGTCACAGGTGTAGATGGGGGTGGCGCCGCATGGTTGTTTTGCGCATTTTGGCATGCAAAATTTGTTGAGACCCTCGCGACTCGAGCAGGAACCCAAACAGTTGCAAAATAGCCGTGCTTACAGCAAAGCGTGCCATTATTTACTTATTTAATACAAAAAAAAAGAAGAAGAACAATTAACAATAAGTAAACGCAGTGTTTTATCAATAGATAACATAAATATGAACTATCTTGCACCGCCCGCCCCCCACAATGCGAGCAACAAGAACAGCAGCCGTCGCAGTGGCAATTCGCCGCGGCTGACCAGTCGCTCAGTTTCGCCGTGTCGCTACCGCAGTCGGGCGAATTCGTTGACTCCCACACAGCAGGATTCATCGTCGCCGTCATCGCCACAGCCGCTACGCAGGCGTCCGCCATGCTCCTCCACCTCTCAACTCAATGACATTTGCCGGCCGCGCTGCAACACTGATCCCAGCAACAGTAACAGCAGCACTAACATTAAGAAGTCGACGGCGACGCGCAGCGTCCTCGGCTCTCTGTTGCGACAGACGCTGAAGGTGACATCGGCATCGGTCGGCTTCAGTGCCAGCGAGGAGCGGTAAGCAGCTGTTAAAGT